ATTTTATTAGTTATAAAATGATTGAGCCATTTAAGCCCCTACCCCTGGAAGACATGAGGGTGTTGGCTGCCGTCAACGTGCTTAAGTCGTGTTTAGTTAAGCAATTATTATTTTTATTATTATTATTATTCTAATGTGCTGAATGGCAATTGAAAGTATAATCTAACAAAAATACGTATATATATATATATATATATATATATATATATATATATATATATATATATATATATATATCGAAGGGTTGGGGAGGGTTGACTCCCCAAAAATGTGGGTGTGTGGGAGGCTCAGCCGCGATTAGGGATACAGTTTCCTGAAAACGAGGCAAAGGCCTCCACGAATGTGGATTAAAGATATTGAAGATGCACTGGCTATGAAAGCTCCAAGGGCTGGAGAATCGGTCCAGAGATGTGGACACTTTCAGGTGTACCTTGGCGAGAGCGACGTTCTGTATAGGACGTGCTGAACTGTGATGAAAATCTTTGTGATTTTATGAATTCATCTTCGTTAGTAAGTTGTATATTCTGTTCATGACATCGCTAACTATCCCCATATTTATTTAGCGTTTCGTCATTATACCGTTTTCATGATTTATTTAGCGCTAAGATTTCTTGAAATTTTCGCGATTCGTCACCTGCGCCTGGAATTCTGTACACAGAAACATATGGTCCTGACTTTACGGCTGCCCTGGTAAAACAGGCAGTCATGTTTGATTGTTGTTGAACTTGTACTTCAATTATAAAGGATTCACTTATCTGCTTTCTTTATGTAATTGTTACAGTAGTATGCACCTGACGAGATACAGCGAAATGTGCCAGGCAATAAATTGTGCACTCGATTGTTTGTGTCTTCTTTGTTCATATTTAGCATTTGCACTTTCACTTGCTCTGTGGCTTGAGGTTAATGGATGCGCTTCACAATTTCACAATTCTCTGCGTCCTTGGGTCTCAATTTTAATAGAATGTTCAATAGTAACCCAAGTGCAGTTAGGGTTTGGGGCCTCAAACCACCATATACCAAAAACAGCAATCAATGTTTAGTAAAAGTTACCTGGACTAAAGTGCAGATTTCTGTTTATCCAGTGTATGCCAATCTCTACCAAACTGTAGATTCCTGTTCACCAAGTGTATGTCGATATCTACTAAACTGTAGATTCCTGTTCACCAAGTGTGTGTCAGTCTTTACTAAATTGTAGATTCCTGATTGTTAAGTGTATGTCAGTCTTTACCAAAACTGTAGATTCGTGTTTGTTAGGTGTGTGTCAGTCTCTACTAAACTGTAGATTCCTGTCTACCAAGTGTATGTCAGTCTCTACTACTAAACTGTAGATTCCTGTTTTCTAAGTTCGAGTCGATATCTACTAAACTGTAGATTCCTGTTTAGCAAGTGTATGTCTGTCTTTACTACTAAATTGTAGATTCCTGTTAAACAACTGTATGTCGATATCTACTAAACTGTAGATTCTTGTTAACCAAGTGTGTGTCGATATCTACTAAACTGTAGATTCCTGTTTACCAAGTGTATGTTGATATCTACTAAATTGTCAATTCCTGTGTATGTCAATCTCTTCTACTGAATTGTAAATTCCTGTTCATCAAATGTATTTCAGTCTTTACTATAGTAAAAATTCATGTTTAACAAGTGTATTTCAGTCTTTACTATAGTGTAAATTCATATTTAACAAGTATATTTCAGTCTTTACTATAGTGTAAATTCATGTTTACCAAGTGTATGTCAGTCTTTACTGTAGTGTAAATTCATGTTTACCAAGTGTATGTCAGTCTTTACTATAGTGTAAATTCATGTTTACCAAGTGTATGTCAGTCTTTACTGTAGTGTAAATTCATGTTTACCAAGTGTATGTCAGTCCTTACTGTAGTGTAAATTCATGTTTACCAAGTGTATGTAAGGTAGAACATTTGTGTTTATCGTGTATGTATGTATGTGTGTGTGTGCGCGTGTGTGTGTGTATGTGTGTGTGAATTTGTGTGTATCCTTGTATGAGTGTGTGTGTGTGTTTACTAACAAATTACCAAAATATAAAAAAATATGTATTTATGGAGTGTGTGTGTGTATGTGGGCGTGAGTGTTTGTGTGAGAATATATGTGTGTGTGTGTGATTGTGTGTGCACGCGCTTGCGAGCGTGCGCTAATGTGTGAATATCTACTATTTTGAGAAGGATGAATCATTACCAAATGAATAGTAATCTCTTTCAAAATATAATCGGTCTCTTGTTAGACTGGACGACATAATTCAACTAGCCAGAAAAGGTATAGTAACGTAAGAAAATAAAGATCCCCTTTCACGCCTTTAGGTGCACCGGGTATATGTGAAGAGCACCCACATTTTTACAGACCAATTGGTATTAGGTGGGTAAATGTGGTCAGCATTACGCCGGCCGTCTTTACTTCCCCAGGACACCATCATAGTACCCATTTTAGGCTGGGTCGACCTGCGACGTCCCATACCATGATAAAAATCCACGCAGCCAGCTGTGCGTTGAAATTACAAGTCGGACTCTTGACGCTTAAGCCACGGACGCCGCCAGAAAAGATATCTATTATTCTATATTCTTTTGTCTTGTAAACTGCAGTCGGTCCTTGACAGAAATTGTAAACAATACATTTCTGCAGCTGCGTCTGGTCTCTTATCATGCATGAACACGTGACTGTTAGGAAGGAGTATACCTCTGTAGACTGCTTTCAATTCTTTTGACATCAACACTGCGTTGTTGGAGGCTGCTGAACAAGACCGTTCTGGATGGTGTACGTCCCTCAGGCATGGTGCATCGGCCTGCCAGACAGCGGAGATTGCACAGGCAGAGAAACGGAGGCAGACTAGAAAAAATCGTGCTGCTAATCCTACACTTACTTCAGCTTTCATTTGTTGTCCGCACTGCTCAAGAACTTTCCAGTTTCATATTATACTAATCAGCCACCTTCGTATTTATATTCGTTGGCCATTACTACTTTGGATGAAAGTGGTCTTCATCACTCGTGATGGACGAATAGCATGTCTCTGTAAGTTAGGAGTAGACTGTATAATTTATAGTGCGTTTCAAAAGTCGTGCTCTAATATTTGAACGATTATCTCTAAAATCTCCTGTATGGATCAATATAAATGTTTGCATGTGGTTTTAGATCATAATTATAAACTAATTATCCATTTCCTTATTATTTTATAATTTATAATTGCACGGGTGCTGCTGATTTTTTTACCGGTGAATTTCTTTGATGTTTGCTGAATGAATAATTTCTTTGCCCCTGTCGTACATAATAAAAGGTAACTGAAACATGCTTGAGGATTATTTTGGAAAACAGTTTGCATATGCAACGTTGCGTGGCGATTATTCTGTTAGCCTATCCTCCAAGCAATGAAACAGTTCACAGGAGGTTAATGCTGGGGATGCCCACCTGAGAGGGAAATGCTTAGTAAACGCGTTTAATTTGATGTTTTGAAAAGACACCATTACATAATTAACTGTAATCACGCTAACTGTTTACTTTGAGTCGGTTGCAAAATGAAAAACTAAATGTTTGCTTACATAAAAAAAAAAACACAGCAATTAGAACGACATGATTATTATCAACTTCTTTGCCAAGCGTCAACAACTCACGCTTAAAGTTACTGAGTTACAGATTTTTAAAAATGGGCAAGACTTTGGAACGAACTATAAGAGTATCTCTGTCAGCAGGAATATACTTCTGTCTTGTAGAAATATGTACAGAAATAGGTCTCTATCAGTGGAAACAAGTCTATAAATAAATAGCATCTGGTCCGTATTAAGGATATATGAAGCCTCGGTGGAGTCATTTATTTTACACCATTATTCCCTCAGTTAAAGTTAAAATAGCGCTATTGCTTTACCGACCAAAAACAGTAAGTTCTGGAAATTATTGATTTTAATATTAAATTGCACTGAAGTAGTTGAACTTAAGTGCAAACATAACAAATGAAAGGCAATTTATCAACTGTGAAAATGGTAAGTTAAAACTGTATAAATAATTCTGAAGACAAACTATATGGTAAATACTTTGAACATTATAATTAGTTTAATACCCAATAAAAAATGATATCATAAAGCCTTCAGTCAGTCGTTTAAGTATTAGCCGCATTTTTCTGTCCTCAAAGTCTTTCGCCACCATTAAATTGCCGCCCTTTGTAGTTGGGAATGATGTGCAGCCCTGGGTAGGAGTCAGTCTCTATCAGTTGGGTGTGGGCACTATTAAGTAGGGACAAATCTCTGTCAGCTAGATCTGGGTCCTATTAGGTAGGAGTATATCTTTATCAGGTAATAGTATGTCTCTGTAAGATAGGCTGGGCTCCTCTCAGGTATGACGAGGTCTCTGTTGTGTAGGAGTTAGTCTCGGTCGGGTATGAAGAGGTCTCTGTCACATAGGTTGTGGTCTCTATCAGGTATGACGAGGTCTCTGTCACATGGGATGTGGTCTCTATCGGGTTGACGAGGTCTCTGTCACATTGGATGTGGTCTCTATTGGGTATGACGAGGTCTCTGTCACGAAGGATGCGATCATGTTTCGTCAGGTGGGAATAGGTCTCTACCCTATAAGAGCAGGTCTCTGTCACATTGGATGTGGTCTCTATTGTATATGACGAGGTCTCTGTCACGAAGGATGTGATCATGTTTCGCCAGGTGGGAATAGGTCTCTACCCTATAAGAGAAGGTCTCTGTCACATTGGATGTGGTCTCTATTGGGTAGAACGAGATCTCTGTCACGAAGGATGTGATCATGTTTCGTCAGGTGGGAATAGGTCTCTACCCTATAAGAGCAGGTCTATGTGAGATAGGAGTCGATCTCCGGCTTCCAAGTATAGTTCAGGTTTGATGCATAATAATTAAATAATACTTATAGATAATATATACACTAGGTAATCCAAAGACAGGCATGTATCGCGAATCCGAAAATCATTGAATTCTGACTAAAACACTGGTTCTGTTAATAAATTTGTCACCAAAAATCTGTTACCTACAAAGTAACTATTTTATATACTGCCTCACTAAGTCTCCCAGTTTAGAGCCAGACATCTTCTCCTCAAATAGTTTATCAAAAGCCTCGTTTTGTGCCACCGTAAACCAGTTCTTCCAATCGCCAACAATTCCTTTTCTTAAAATGTCACCTGGTCCGTTTCGGAAATGGTTGCTACTTTGAATTGCCATTTTAGTATCACCGAGTTCAACTTTCATTTTAGAGAACTCTGTTTTCCCGGCAATCTTTTCTGAAAGCACATCTGGCATGTCCAAGAAAGCACACAGTTTCTGAATCTCCTCAACAGCGTGTTCTTTAACTTTCTCGTAAACGAGAATAAATAACGGAGAGTCCGGGTGTTTCACTTGAAATCTTTCTGTGGCTAGAACGTGGTCAAACCAGTAGCCCCAAGGAAATTCGCCTCGCATTTGCAGGTCAAAGAACTCATTCCAGCTGCCTGTGAATCTGCTGCCTTCATACTGTAAGTTACTTACAAAGTTATACATGGACACCAGAACATCTTTCGGGTTGCGTAGGACATAAATCAGCTTGATTCTTTTCTCGATGGCTTGCTCTGGGATGTGATGCATTCTGCAATGGGTTGTCATATTCCTTGGCGATTTAATCCCTTCTACAGTAGATGCTACGTTGCTGCCCAAACACTCGATCAATCTGGAGTAGAAATGATCGTGTTCGAAGTTCGTTGTCTGACTGAGGATCATAGATACCATCTCGAAGGTCCAGTGGTTTCCCGATCGAGGAAATCCAACTGTGATGACATCATCAGGTCTAATGTTCAAGTTGCGAACTAGGTCAAGCAGGTGTTTGAGGTCTTGTCCAAGTGTGAACTTGAAGTAATTAACGCCCTCGATGTTCTGTAAATCCAGCCCTTCTAGACCGCTGTATCTCCTGAGTGGAAGCTTTAAATCTGGCCCTGCATCCTTCCTCTCCATGTCTAGACAACTGTTTGTCTGAACTGAAAAGTAAACAAAGGACAGGTTATTTAATATTTCATCGTTGATCTGAGAGCAAACATAAGTGTCAGAATCGCGTTGAGCCGTTACGGTGTGGAACCTGGACGCTCGCTTTCCAGCATGAAGGTTCCAATGGAATCGACTCAAATTGTCCTTATAAAATGACCTTGCTGCCAGGTCAATCCAGCCTGAAAATGGGTACCAGGTGGATATCTGGGAAGTAAAGGTTGCCAGAACTATGTTGACCATTTCACACATGGAGTACCGATTGGTCAATGAAAATATGAGTCCGTCATCATATGTCCCAAGCACCCTTACGTCAAAGGAGTCCTGTACTTGTTCCATGTAAGAGTATAATTATTTCCTTGTGTTTGCTGTTACAAACACCTCCAGTGAGCGCTGTAAATGTAAACTAGCTCTCTGCGTTATTGCCTTCTGCCCTTGTTATACTAAATTTCATATATTACGCTACACTAATTTCAAGAAGCTGTATAACTTAGAGCTTTCCGTTTTTTAATTTTTTTTTTTTTTTATTTCCAGTTTTGTAGATAGGAGTATTGGGAACAACCGCCAGTATTGAAAGCAGAAGTGGAAGATGCTATAAAGCCTATGAAGAAATATAAATCTCCAGGGCCAGATAACATCACGATTGAAGAATTAAAAGCTGCTGGTGAACCGGGTTTAAATGTTTTTGACAAAATTGTTCAGTGACATTTATAACAGTGGACATTTTTCTGATGACCTTTTGAAATCTCTTTTCATACCTTTACCAAAAAACACCTGGTGCAGTGGAATGTAGAGAACATCGACGCAATTAGTTGAATCAGTCATGTTACTCAAATATTAATGAGTCATGTTACTCAAATAATAAGGAGTCATGTTACTCAAATATTAATGAGTCATGTTACTCAAATAATAATGAGTCATGTTACTCAAATAATAATGAGTCATGTTACTCAAATATTAATGAGTCATGTTACTCAAATATTAATGAGTCATGTTACTCAAATAATAATGAGTCATGTTACTCAAATATTAAGAGCATACCCACGAGAAGAATAAGGTGCAAAATGAAACCAGACATTGGAGAAGAGCAGTGTTGTATTGTCGAAGGTAATAGCACAAACAATGCCATATTAATCCCGAGAACACTTTCAGAAGGAATGATTAACATGAATCTTCTTCTTGAAGTCTGCCGTGTGGCGTTGGTAGTCATGTCTCTCCACAACCTTCTGTCTCGTGTACATTCAATTAAATCTGACACAGATGATCCTTCATGCCATGACGTCAAACCGTCCAGCATCTTTTCTCTTGGTCTCCCTCTGCCTCTCCTCCCCCCCAACTTTCCTACCGTCTCCATGTACTCCAGTTTTCTCCTTCTCATTACATGACCAAAGAATGTAGATTGTCTCTTTCTGACGTGGACAGTCAGTTTCTTTCAAGACATCTTCTTTTTCTTTTTATCTGTCCAGGCAATTCTCATCTATGTATCTATCCATCTATCTATCTATCTATCTATCTATCTATCTATCTATCTATCTATCTATCTATCTATCTATCTATCTATCTATCTATCTATCTATCTATCTATCTATCTATCTATCTATCTATCTATCTATCTATCTATCTATCTATCTATCTATCTATCTATCTATCTATCTATCTATCTATCTATCTATCTATCTATCTATCTATCTATCTATCTATCTATCTATCTATCTATCTATCTATCTATCTATCTATCTATCTATCTATCTATCTATCTATCTATCTATATCTATCTATCTATCTATCTATCTATCTATCTATCTATCTATCTATCTATCTATCTATCTATCTATCTATCTATCTATCTATCTATCTATCTATCTATCTATCTATCTATCTATCTATCTATCTATCTATCTATCTATCTATCTATCTATCTATCTATCTATCTATCTATCTATCTATCTATCTATCTATCTATCTATCTATCTATCTATCTATCTATCTATCTATCTATCTATCTATCTATCTATCTATCTATCTATCTATCTATCTATCTATCTATCTATCTATCTATCTATCTATCTATCTATCTATCTATCTATCTATCTATCTATCTATCTATCTATCTATCTATCTATCTATCTATCTATCTATCTATCTATCTATCTATCTATCTATCTATCTATCTATCTATCTATCTATCTATCTATCTATCTATCTATCTATCTATCTATCTATCTATCTATCTATCTATCTATCTATCTCTATCTATCTATCTATCTATCTATCTATCTATCTATCTATCTATCTATCTATCTATCTATCTATCTGTCTGTCTGTCTGTCTGTCTGTCTGTCTGTCTGTCTGTCTGTCTGTCTGTCTGTCTGTCTGTCTGTCTGTCTGTCTGTCTGTCTGTCTGTCTGTCTGTCTGTCTGTCTGTCTGTCTGTCTGTCTGTCTGTCTGTCTGTCTGTCTGTCTGTCTGTCTGTCTGTCTGTCTGTCTGTCTGTCTGTCTGTCTGTCTGTCTGTCTGTCTGTCTGTCTGTCTGTCTGTCTGTCTGTCTGTCTGTCTGTCTGTCTGTCTGTCTGTCTGTCTGTCTGTCTGTCTGTCTGTCTGTCTGTCTGTCTGTCTGTCTGTCTGTCTGTCTGTCTGTCTGTCTGTCTGTCTGTCTGTCTGTCTGTCTGTCTGTCTGTCTGTCTGTCTGTCTGTCTGTCTGTCTGTCTATTCGTATGTCTGTCTGTCTGTCATGTCTGTGTGCATGCGGGTGTATTATCTGCCTTTCTCTCTAAATCGCGTTGTCCCCTCCGGAATGCTACCTACAGTTTTCCCATACGATCCTGGACGAAAAAATCTTGATGGGATGACAGAGCACCAAGGCACATCCCAGATCAACCTCCAAAGAAATTATTAGTATGGCACCTGTAACCTGCGACAACAGCCAGGTGTAACCTTCGACACCAGCCAGGTGTAACCTGCGACAACAGCCAGGTGTAACCTGCGACACCAGCCAGGTGTAACCTGCGACAACAGCCAGGTGTAACCTGCGACACCAGCCAGGTGTAACCTGCGACAACAGCCAGGTGTAACCTGCGACACCAGCCAGGTGTAACCTGCGACAACAGCCAGGTGTAACCTGCGACACCAGCCAGGTGTAACCTGCGACAACAGCCAGGTGTAACCTGCGACACCAGCCAGGTGTAACCTGCGACACCAGCCAGGTGTAACCTGCGACACCAGCCAGGTGTAACCTGCGACAACAGCAAGGTGTAACCTGCGACACCAGCCAGGTGTAACCTGCGACAACAGCAAGGTGTAACCTGCGACACCAGCCAGGTGTAACGTGCGACACTAGCCAGGTGTAACGGGCGACACCAGCCAGGTGTAACCTGCAACACCAGCCAGGTGTAACCTGCAACACCAGCCAGGTGTAACCTGCAACACCAGCCAGGTGTAACCAGCGACAATAGCCAGGTGTAACCTGTGACAACAGCCAGGTGTAACCTGCGACAATAGCCAGGTGTAACCTGTGACAACAGTCAGGTGTGACTTGCTGTCCTGTGTGAGACGAACACTGAACAAATCTTTTATGGCTCATCGATTCTCAACAGAAAATGTCGTTATCAACAAAATGACTTCTGGCAATTCCTAGAAAATTTTCCTAATTTAGTCAAGCCCAGAGGTTCTCAACCTGTGGATCGCGACCCTTTTTGGGGTCGAATGACCATTTAACAGGGTCGCCTAAGACCATCGGAAAACACATTTTCACTTCAGTTATGAAGTAGCATCGAAAATAATGTTATGGTTGGGGGCCACCACAACATGAGGAACTGGACTAAAGGGTCCCCGCATCAGGAAGGTTGAGAACCACTGGTCTAGCTGAGCTCAAAGTGCAGGTAAATTCAGAGGCGAATTGGAACCTACAACCAGCCATTGGACGAGGCTAAGTTCAACATGCAGAGGATACGACTTGACAGTAAATACGACCTAACCCACATAACGCAGGTCAGTAGAAATACTAATCCGCTCAATATCGGGTTGAATGGTACTTGAGTGAAGAAAGTTACAGAATTTAAATATCTAAGAAGTATTTCTCGGCGGAATAGATCGGGAAATAGAAGCAAGATGCCAACTAGCAAATGCTCGTATATACCAAATGACACTGCTATTAAGACATCCAAATATAAGTATGAGCACCCAGAAATAGATTATAAACAACATATTCCTACCAACACTGTACTATTAGTGTCAGACTTTGACATTATCAAAAGCTAACCTACGTAAAATTAATTCATGTGAAATCAGTTGCCTGACAAAGGACGGTAACTTAACTACCCGAGACAAAGTTAGAAATTATGTTATCAAACATACCGTGGAAACAACAGCATGCAACAAATTCATTGAGAAAAAGAAGATCAACCGGTTTTGTCGTCTAGTAAGAATGCAGCCAAAACAACTACCAACGTAGCCGCTACACATGAAATGATCCGATGTGAAAGCAAGAGGTCTCCCTAGGATAAATGGACTGATAATATTAAAGAGTTTCCACATGTACACAGAAAAACAATAGCCATTGCTGCCCATTAAGTGATGGATCACAAACTGTTCCTTCCCACCTGGCTTAACGGCAGAAGTCGAAATTGATTATAATAATAATAATGAACCAACCATAGAGTGCTAGTCAGTCCATCCAAAGATGTGAAACATCCGGCCAGCTGGCCGTACAAGGCCCAAGAAATCAATTGGTGCGTCCAAACATCATCACTACTAGCTAACATTACACACCAAACCAAACCGAAGCAGTTCAAACCATCACATTAGAAGGTGATTTCATTCAATGTTGGAACAAATAGCTAGTTAATTAATAGGGTGATAATTTTAAATGACCACAAATGATGTTGTACACAGAATAAAAATTTCCTTGGCAGAAAAACAAAACATTTTTTTTACGACCACACAGGTCTGTGGTTGTGTGTGTGTGTGTTCTTAAAAAAAAAAAACAAGATTCGAATATTGTACACAACTAGGTCACAAGCGAGAGAATCAAGTAACAAACATGAAAACATCCGTATAATATAACAGTTGTTATTCACCAAAAGCAGTGGCTGACAAATCACTGAAGACAATGGGATCTCGTGCGGTAGATCCAGTTCAAATCCTCAGTCAAACGATGGAATTGTGGTCTGCCAAAGACAAAAATGAAAATCCTAACCTGCACAGTTCCTGGCGCCAGCACCAGCCATGCGGCCCTAAATCCTTAGG